TTTGGCGAAAAAGGCGCTCATATTTCAAAGTTGCTGACAATGCAATGATTATTATTCTCTCTCTCCCTCTCTCTGTCTCACATTAATGTGATAAATTTCTCTCAGAAATCCCAGAATAGATCTGTCGTCTCTGTACACCTCTGTGTCTCTCGCTCTTCTTCTGTTTCTGCTTTTCTCTTGCCTGTTCTGCTGCTCTTCTCCTCGCACGCTATGCTAACAGAAATATTGTATGTTCAAATCTGGAGTGATGCAGAAAGTCCAAGGGATCATTTTACAGACCTGATTTATAAAGGACTATGTATCGTCTCGAACTGCTAAAAGTTTTATTTTAAGGTTAGGGCTCATCTGAATGTGTTTGATGTTATGAAATAGTGGTGAAATGATAACTGAAAGCTTACTTGTCAACAGATGTCTGGTAATTTGCTTCGGATAAGAGTGTGTGCTAAAATTAGCGCTGGGTGATTATATTTAGTTTACATTAAGAACAGTAGATTTGTCTGTCTGTGTGTGTGTTTTGGGCCGGTTTGAAAGGTTTGAAATGTGTGTGGATTTAGGAGACTCTGGATTTTGGATCTGAATCTGGTGTCAAGTCCAAACACATGTTTACACTGGCAAACAATCCAGAGCAACAGCCAACGAGAAATGACTACAGTCATTGATCCTACAGTAAAGCCTTAGGAAAATGTCACGAGTGACAAAGAGAACAAAAACAGGGAATGAAACCAGGAAAGATGTTACACTGTTTTTTTTTTTGAAAGAAGTCTCTTCTGCTCACCAGGGCTGCATTTATTTGATCAAAAATACAGTAAAAACAGGAATATTGTGAAATGCTATTACAATTTCAAATTGCTGTTTTGTATTTGAAAATATTTTAAAATGGAATTTATTGCTGTGGAGCAAAGCTGAATTTTCAGCATCATTTCTCCAGTCTTCAGTGTCACATGATCCTTCAGAAATCATTCTAATATACTGATTTGTTGCTCAAGAACATTTCTTATTATTATCAAATATGAAAACAGTTGTGCTTCATATTTTTGTGGAAACCAGGATTTTGTGATCGACAAAAAAGTTCAAAACAACATTTATTTGAAATAGAAATCTGTAACATAAATGTCTTTAATGTCACTTTTCAGTCGCTGAGTAAAAGTATGAATTTTTCAAATAATATATTTATTTTGATACAAATGTAATTTCACCTTACATGCATTTCTGTAAATGTCATAAATTAATAATTACATTTGCACGCACTTGCATGCCTAATTACAAATAAATGTATGATTTAATAAAAAAGATTTATTTATTTATAAAGATCATCTGTGACTCATAATACACAGTGAGAATTCAGGTCCATCTGTCTCATTAAAACAATTAGTTATTTTTATTAAATTAAAATGTGATTTTTTTATACACAGAGTGCAAAATTGAATGCTCCACTTTGCATTTGTTTATTAAAAAATAATTATGTCTCCTGGATTTACTATGTTAAGTTATATGGCTACTAAAGTAATTGTCGCAAAAGAAAGTTCAAAAGAACAGCATTTATTTGAAATAGAACATTTTGTAATAGTATAAATGTCTTTCACTTTTGATCAATTTAATGCTTCCTTGCTAAACATATTTTGCTGAAATCAAAACTTCAAGCATGTTACCCTGCACCAAAGTTCCTCTAAGAAAAAGAAAAGTTATGCAAGTTATGTCTCTGTTATGCAGTGCATCCTCTAGAGCCCTGTGTTCTGCTGTTTGCTCGACTCCAGAAGCGTTTTGTTTTGCGGTATTCTCTGTGGCTCTTGTGTTTGCTGTGCTGATTCTGTCTGGCCGCTCCACACAGCCTGGAGAGCCTTCTGTGCGGCTGTCTCTCTCTCTCTCTCTCTCTC